TAATTAATACTTGGGGTTACTATGATTTTTAACTACAACTGTTCTTTAAGTCAATTAAATATGTGTTTCAATACTTACAGCTGTACAACTAGTTCATTCCTCCCCACTTGAAGCACCAGATAACCTTAAAGAACAATGATTTGGAAACCAAATACACGACAGTTTATACACCCTACAACCCCCAAAGTCCTACTATTGCTTGTAACATAATTTGCATGTGATTTTTAAGTAAATAAAAAATGTCTATACCTTATTGATCAAGTTTCCTAATACAACTGGCATCGTAATAATTGTTGATCTGATCCTGAGATTTATGTTATGTCATGGCAGTGAATTTTCCTCCACTATTCCTAAATATTATATTTATCATAAGAACATAAATTTTAGAAATTTACACCCTAAGTGATGAAGCAGTCTTTGATATTTGGCTCTTGCAAGAAATCCAAATACAATTTCTAATCTAAAGATTTTTATGTAAATATGGTTCATCGCTGATCCTTATCTAAAATAACCATGTTTACACAATGTTGGTATTACATTATATCACTGTGTACTAAGAACTAGACTACAGATGATATAGAAGACAAATTTCAGATTTAAAAAAATTTATTCTTCATTTATAACTTTATCTAGTAAGCTATCTAATAAATTATCTATCATGGAAATTAATAATCAACCCGCTATGTTACACTGATTTTCACTAAAAAACACAATCGTGTACAGCAATCAGTCAGTTAGTTGATCAGACCAACTCCGTCTTCTAATTGTTCTACCGAAATAATCGTTAATGTCATATGGCTGTTTTTCTTGGGATTAATTATTTGAAAGCATCACTATTATTCAGTAGTATATTTGCTGCATTTCATTACTTTAAAAGGTGTACAATTTGATGATATGTGTAGCATAACCTTTTTGCATATCAGTAAAACCACTACTTTTATTTCAATTTGCAGAGTTATAAATCATTTGTCCGATATAAACGATGCAAAAGAATACTTAGAAAGAAGCTTAAACCGTAAATTAATTCAATATCGTTTATTTAGTGAATTTTATTCTTCACATGGATTTAACGAAGATAATGTTTCTTTGAATAAATTTGTAACACAAGTTGAAGATAAAAATCTCAACCAGTTGATTTCATGGCTAACTGAATTTTGGAATCAACTAAATGAAATTCCTTATTCATTGCTACAATCTAATCAGTTCACTATTTTCGGTATACGAACATTTCTAACATGTCCAATGAATTCACAGCTGTCATTAAACTGGTTTCTTGACTTATGGAATAATATGTTGGTGCCTATTTTGTTTAGGGATATAAAAAATGTAACTACCTCCACTATGCCAACAAAAAAAGAACCTTTAAACAATATATTTAAAACATTAAATGATATTCTTGGATGGATAACGATAACATGGCCATGGAATCCTACGATTGTCAACTTTCCAAAATCTATTAGGGAACCAAAAATAACTTTAACACAGAATTCAATATCCATGATGAAAAATTACCAGTTAACGTTGTCCACACTGTGTAATTCCGACGTGGAAACTTGTCAACACCGTACAAGTATGGATTCTGGTATTATTCTAGATGGAATAAATCCAACAAGCAACAATCTTTCCAGTTGTTTTGGAAACAATTCAAATATCATGTATGGTAACAACTATTATAACCATTATCATTATCTGTATGGAATGGGAGACAATTATAGTGTACAACAGCATGCGACCAATATAACTGATTGTAATCAACTGACTACGACAACATCCTACCAATTGAAGAATGAAAATCGTACTAGAGGCGATTGTACAAAAACTGTTACTTCTGTGAAGTAAGAATAATGCACACATATAAAACAGAATTAAAAGTTCCTTGTCTCTTCAATCATAATCTAATGTAAAAAGTCACAATGTCATTCTTGATTTCCGTTTGTTTTCTCATCTATAAAAATTTAGATTACCTTATATTTATTCTTAAATACTACAGGTTTATATCATATTAAGTATACCATGAGTATTTAACTTTGAAAAGGATTGTTTTTCCGACATTTTCTTTGCAATTTTTCTTTTGTTCTGTAAGTAATATATATCTACACAATCTGATTTTTGTTTGGAACAAAATTAAAGATAACAACAATTAGTTATTATCAATGACGTGGAATAAGAACAAATTACAACAGTTGTAGTTTCCTTATAGTGAAAAACGTTTCGTCGTTTTCTTTTATTCTAAATAAATATGGAAGAGATGACCGAGAACAACTGACATTTTCACATTCTTTAAGATGCCTATAAAACCTTGATTTGTTATTATACATATTTCAAATAAACGTATCTAGAACTCACTCAGTTACTTGACCATACGTAAAGTTACGTCACGATTCTATCTTTAGCAAACACGTATTCTATTCACAACTAATAAAAACAAGGTACAGGTCTTATAAATAAAACTCACTACTACCCCTCTCATCTGTTATATGTTCTCAATTGAAGAGCTAACCGGCTTTAATTTAAATCATTTTAATTAAAGTTTATACAGTAAGAAGTTTGAGTGACTTCCGAAAAAGTAGAAGTTAGTTGTAGATACATATGTATATAACCACTATAACTCACGAATAAATATTAAGTAAAAAACAAGGTAGCAATCGGGAGTAGATCAATAAGTAGTAAATCTAAAACCTATTTAATTACTTTGATGGTAGATCATATCACTAACGTTTATAGATAACTGGATTCTAGCACAATCGTTTGATAGTAATCTGCTTTACCCAAGACTTATAGATTCTTATTTTGATGCAGTAAGGGATTGCGGGATGCGAACTGATGAGGAGTCCCAGAAGAGCAGGTAATAACTTTTCGACTTTTTGCGATTGATGTTTTAATTGGTATCAGCCTGTGATAGTCATTCTTCAGATACTTTTACTTCTCAACGTGTCTGGATGATTATAAATTATGAGGAACGTCATTATTTTCACATTCATTTAAATATGACTCTGAACATTTATCTAAATTGATGGAGAAAAAGCATAACAAAAGAAGATTTGGTTCATTTTAATTGGGTAGGATGATGTTACGTCTGGCTGTAAATTAAAAATGATACATATCTATACTACAAACATGAACTTCAGGATTATTTATTAAGCGAAAACGGTGCTAACTTCTTTGGCTCACTGGTCTATGAATGCTAAAATGATTAAAAAAAGGCATTCGATCATATCAGTGTACCAGATTTTATCCTGGATAAAATATGAGTTGTATAATATTGTCATGATTCACTCCCTTCCCGGCCCAGGCATATTTTGTGATTTTTAAACAATTCTTTCGATACATACACCTCATGCATAGCAATCTTTGTTTGCATGAAATACTCTTGTACATTTTTAAGCAAGATAGTACCTTTACACGTTTTATCTGACTGTGAAGCCGTCTTCTTAATCCTGGTCAGTCAATCAGTTCCAACGTAGAACTTCGTACATACGTACATTAGTTTGAGTTGCCATACTACATTGGCACAGAGATGCGGTTGTCGATTCAAATCCCGTAGTGGTAGAGGTAGTAAGAGTATAAGCAGTATTTGGAAAGATTAGGGTTTAAAGATATTATTCAAGTAGTATAATACAGTGAAATAAATTTATTTATCAACCCGTAAACTTTGAACAAATAAAAAAGGACGATGTGACTGAAGGTATTATTTCAAAGCTAATCAAAACCATAACCCTTCTAGAGAAGTAAAAGGTAATATGATTTTAAGCTAAGTCAACCAGACAATGTTTAAATGCCTTTATTGTGAATCATGAGAAGCTTTGAAATAATATATGCATTTAAGAGGATTGCTACATATTTCAAAAACACGAATGTCCTAAAAAGTGATTTGTTTTCTGTGAAACTAAACATTTAAATATTATGCAGAGGCACTGTCAAATATGTTTCCCTAAAATGAAAGCGTTTATACAGTTTTAAATAAGATAGTTGGACTCCTCTTTCAGAATATCCGTCCTATTCATTCTTGATTGTGATCATTCACTTAATATGCAAACTTTAACTATTCAAATAAAGCAGGACTGAAGTCATCAGTTTAATTGACTTATCCGTTTTCAATAATTTATCCTGCTCAGACTAAGAAGACTATTAGGTTTAAAGAAACACAATATGTTGCAAAACATAGCATTTAGTTTCCGCCAATTATCAACGTTATTAACAACAATCAGACTTGAAATAATGAGATTCTCTAAACGGTTGAAATTATTTTAATTATTCCTCACTCTGTTTTTACTTCTGTTGTCCTAACTACTTTTCATGCTTCTTTATTGGCCCTGTCTATTCTTATAATGGGGTGTCCGTTTTTATTACACGAATTAATCTTTGATTTAATATCTTTTAGTTTGAGTAAAAACGTTCTCAATTGAAAAATTTACTTCCAGTGTGTTAGGTGGACACGTATTGAAAAAATACAACAGTTTACTGCAGTTTCGTCTTTTGGTTGTATTTATTAAACTGAACCTATGTCTTTTGCTTTGGACGAAATGACCTAATTGTTCTAACTGGCCAGATATTTTGTGGTCACATAAAGTTTGAAATTTTCCAGTTCTTACGGCATATAATTTAATATAATTACTTCATCACAGATGCCGTTACCATATTTCATTATATTTTGACTTGTGGCTAACAACAGACTATACAACATGTTTCTTATATTATTTGAGTTTGGTCAGGATATCCTGTCTAGATGTACTTGCGTCCTTGTGTTAGCGCTGATCAATGTATTGTTGATTACTTTTAAGGATTTCTAGTTTTTACTCGAGCCTCTCTTAAACACCAACCAAAATGTAATCAACTTGCAAATCCAGTTAAGAATCAAGGGATTCAATAAGTAGTCCATATAATGACAGGGAGTGATCGAATCTCAGATTCTCAAAATAAACAATAGAAAATGTAGATACTTTACAATTAACCTGATTTTATACTTTCATCAGTAATGTAATTCAATAAGAGAGACTTTATAGAAGAATAAATAATGCTTCTTTTTGCAATAACTTTTTATTATACAGTTAATAATTCACTCAAAAATCATCGTGTTCATTTTCTTCAGATTGAAGTGCATGCTTCAAATATGTTTGCTTTTCATTTTCAACATTTGTTGTCGGATAATTATCCTGTTGAATTAAACAAAATCATATGAACAATAGAGTAGTAGTAACAATAGTAGTGGTGGTACTAATAATAAAATAAAACACAAAGATTATTGACCAGCTTCATTTTTTATTATCGTTTTCTAACTTAAATGATACTAATCCACGATATTGGTAGTTACAAGAAATAGTCACAAATTTGCCGCCTTGTATTAGACAAGGTGCTTAATAGGCATAACAAAATATAGCAGATCAAATGTTTTCTAAAAGGCGATTACCTTGAACTAAATAGCATACGAAAGTCATAGGATATCAAATGAGTTTAGATAAATGAATAGTATTAGTTACTGGAGAATAAGCGGAAGTTTATGTGAGAAAACCACAATCATTCAACTAATACCACTAAACTCAAGATACGAATACTATATGACATAACCTCGGTAAATCTAAAATTTTCCCCACTTAAAAAAACGTCAGGAAGAGTTTTTAAATAGGATAAACTGTGACTTATATGAATTGTCACTTAAATGAATTATGCCTTAAAATGATCACTTTGAGGTCTTTCCTGTTTTCCCTTTACACTAGTCAACGAACCTTCACCTGACTTAATAGTTGTTTGAAACAATGTATTTTTTTACTGACCTACCTATCTTGCTTAGAACCAAACACTTAATGGTTTTAGTAAATTTACAAGGTACTGCTTATTCATTGATAACCAAAGATATGTGAATTGTGTATCTCAATCAGATTTAACAGATATTTCCTACTAGCATAAATGGAAAGAAATGATATCATTCGACTGTTGTCTGAAGAACAGACTCATTTTCTGAGCTAGAAATGAAGTAAGCCACTGTTTGGACAAAATAGGACTATTAAATGTAGTAATAAAAAGCCTTTTAGTTATTAATCGTAAGTAGATGTAAAAATAAAGTTCAGTTGACCTAGTGATTAACCATTACATTGCAATTAGTAGATGAAACAGATGAAACATGATCAGTGCTCAGTATACTTTCAATATTATAAGAGAAATTTTCTTTATTATCTGGCTAAACGAAATATTCACTTTGCACTCTACAAGTTCTTGTTCAAACGTGAATCAAAACAATTTGTGATAATCAAAATTCGTTCATTCTGTCTTTTAAGCTTGAGTTTTTATCGCTATTTCATACTGTCTATTCCTCGATTCCATTCATTGTTTCTGAATTATATTATCTACGATTATAAATGTTACTAGTACATCTACTTCTTTTTTATAAATAGTCAGTTTTCTTGCTCTGTGCTATTATAGTATAACAATTAAGGCCAATATATAATTTGTCTGGGTTCTACAGTTGTTATGATCAACGTTGATTGTCCAAACAGACAGTTAAAAATCTTTTTGGAAAGAATACGTTTAAGGAAATCTCAGAAGAGCGGTTGGAAACTGTTCAGTTATTATTTCAAATAAACCATATGTATTTAGTCTACTCGTTTGATTAGAGTCTTAACTATGTTTCTGAAACACCAAGCAGTACTATCCATTCACTGGTTTGAATCCTGTTTAACTGGGTTTCAGGAACCAGGAAGTCTATAAAATTTAAGGGACATTAATTCATGTAAACATACAAGCCTGTTTTGTCTTCGAATCACACTATTTCCACTCACATATGATCTATTGGAGACGGAATTGAAAGACTTAATCACACTTTAGAAGGTTAATAGAACATTTGTAATTGCTGTATTCGGAACAATGGATTTCTTAAAAACTATTATGATTTTCCATTTATAAATTTTTCAGAAACGTAAAAAACAGGGATACTTAAAAACAAAGATTGATAAGCTTAAAATTCTGATAATTGCATGATTATTTATCGTTTCCCAATCAACATTGCTAATACCCAACAGATAATAAAACGTAACTTATAATAGCTCATTGATATCCCTGTAACAGTCATGATTATTAATATAGGATCAATACCGAACTCTTTGAAATTAAACAAAAAGACTAAAGACAATGGATAGTTTCAAATAGATTGAGCATTGGGTACAAAGTTAATAATAAAATGTGCATTTTTTTTTATAACCCAATGTAATAATTGAGTTCAAGAGTCAATTGATTCTAGATCACCATGGAAAACCTGGAAGCACTGGACGGCCGTTTCATCCTAGTATGGAACTCCTCAGCAGTGCGCATCCACGATCTCGCTCTCGTGATTCGAACCCCGGGCCTTTGATCTCGCGTGCGAACGCTTAACTTTCAGACCACTGAGCTGGCATCCAATGGTGTTAGTGTCTAAATTCAACCAATCCACGAAATTGCGCCACTGTCCACTATTGTCTTAAGTGAGTTATTATCTCACAACAGACACAGTTGAATTCCACTGGTCACGGCTTCTCATTAGAACTGCAGGAAATAATCCTTAGAGACAGTCACTAGTGAGCATATGATGATTATAATCAGAAAGGGGTTTTGTGGAGATTGTGTTAATTTAATTTATAACCCAGTTATCAGAAAAATTTCATTTTCGACGTTTCGTGACTTACTGTAAGCCGCCTCTTCAGAGTAAACAAATAACCGAAATTACTTGTTGGGATATAACAAAAAAATATATTTATTATTATTATTAACAATCTAAGATAGTTGCGAAGCATCATAAGTTTAATGAAATTAGACATGTACGACAGTGAATCCTGGTTAAGTGATCTAGAGCTTAAGTGTTAAGGCACGAGACCAAAAATTGTGAGTTCGATTCTTGGTGGAGTTATAAATAGATACAACTGGGGAGCCCCATACTAGAATTAAACAGGTGTCTAATGCTTCTTAGTTTTTAACGGATGTCTAACTTAGGTTGGTTCGTGATACTAATAACATTTTATAATCTTCACATTCTCCTATACTGATCTATTTGTTATCCAGTCATAAAAATTAATACAGTATTCACCAAAAAAACATGTTTGTCTTTAAATTTCAGTCATTAACCACTTTTGACTGACTTTATTGTACTAATTACTATTACTACACTGTTTCTTAGTCATTTTAATTTTAAATGAACTTTACTGATCAATAATTCATTTCCGAAAACGATAGAAACACGACTAAAAATTCTAGTTTACGAATAATAATTCTTATTTGGTCCATTATAATGCTGATTTTATACAGGATTTATGTCAAGATGAGGTTAGATAAAATTTTAGATGACAGTACACACTCTTTTTATCCTAGTCGGCTCAGAATAAACTCTACGTTGTCAAATCATCTGAGTGTATCGTAGTCAGTAATGATGGTTATATTTTCGTTTACTTAGTCACTCAATTGTAGATATTTTGGAATAGTTTCTAGCATATAATTAATTGGAGGTATGACTCTTGATGTTATAATTTTTCTTCCACCATGACTAAATGAGCTACACTTGACACGTCCGTAGCATGATTTTTCATTCATGCCAGTAAAAAACAGAGAACGGAACGCACCCTCCATCATGAATTACTACAGCGCAAATAATAATTCCCGCTTCATTTTTGTTTGTAGTCAGATGCAAAGTCAGATTCGTGAATTAGAGTGGAGTTAACCCTCACCCCGAATGACTCGTTTTCTGAAAGAGGCTAATTCATGGAACTATGCCCGATTAAACAAAAATGTGGATTGGTTAAAGTTGTAATACATCAAATCAGCACATCGAGAGATAATAAAATTATGAAAAAATAATAAGATTAAATAACTAATTTCTAAGGGATGTATTGATGGATGATAGTAGACTGCATAAATTGTGAGTGAAACAGAACTTAAAACAGTGACGATCAACTAGATTTACTGAAAATCCAGAGCGACAAAAAAATAATATCAGTTTAGGGGTTGTGGAGATTGTCAAGATTTTTGATTGAGATCATGAACCGATTAAGGTTAGACCACCATTGAAAACCTGGAAACACTGGATGGCCGTTTCGTTTTATTGTGGGACTCCTCAGCAGTGCGCATCCACGATCCCGCTCACGGGATTCGAACCCAGAGCCTTCAGTTTAGCGCTCGAGGTGGCTACATTTTGATAGTACCATAAACACAATATTATTTAACTGTAATTTCGATAAATATAAACATTTTTCAACTTGAAATAGTTATCACTGTTTACGTAATCTATGAAATAACGATCGTAGTGACGACAAGAAAAACTTAACATTTTTGGGGGGATCTAGATCTCTATGAATCATTTGGCAAACGTCTCATTTTTGTAATTTTATTTTGAAAATTTGAACTTCTCATTTTCGGGCCAAAAGCGCCCACTTTTACCTTCAGTTTGTATTTCCCACTTGGGAAGAACCTAAATATCATTAGTTCGTTTCCTCTTTTAGTAAGTTACTTTGTGACGTTTCCCAAGGACATTTTTACACTGTATATATATATATATATATATATATATATATATATATATATATGTATATATATATGTATATATATATATATATATATATGAGTTGTTTGTTTGTTTGTTTGTTCTTTCTGACTGCTTTGTAATATACTTTCCCCTCGTCTGAATCTGGTCTTCTCTCTTTAGTTACAATGACTGAGGCTCAACGAATAGTTTAGCTTATCTTGTGGCTGTCATGCGTATCGTTCCGTTTACAGGTTCAGGTGATATCGTAATCGCTTAAAATGTAGCACTTCTACTGTTATTATTTAGAAATAAATTTAGTTCGTTTTGGACTTACTTTCTGTGATCGTTTTGTTAATAATGATTCATCCATATTTGTAGAACGATAGCTTCCTTCATTTACTTGAAAATCATCACTGTTATTCAAACTTTGAGTTCTACCATGATAACTCGCACCTGGAATACGTTGACGACCAGGAGACCATTCAGGTTTGAGTTGATTTCTTGCAAATCCACGTTTTATAGTATTTCCATTACTGCTTTGATGAAATGAATTATCAGTTGCAACGATATCTTCAGCATTTTCAATTTGATTATCTTGATCATTGATTGAATCATCATCATCATCAATATCATCGTTATCACTTGTATCGTTATCATCCCCAGCACCAAAGCTACCATATTCTCCAGCATTAGTTTTTAAATTTAATGGATTCTTAAAAGTATTTTCATCTTCACAATACGAAGCAGTTCTCTGATTTTCTTCATCTCTAAACTAAACGAAAATAAAAGTACAGTGATTATCAATATACACAGAATTTATTAGTTCATGGAACAAAATTTAAATTACCTAGTTACATATTCGGACCGTTCCCATGGGTAGAGACTTCGGAAAAACGAGTAGTTGTATCACATTAGTCTCTACATGATATTCGGTCATGTATATCTTTGCTGTAATGCATTAGTTACTTTTATCATTATTACACTCAATGAAGTGTATGTTGTTTGAATGTTTATAAAAAAGTAACTTATAAATGCAGAAGAAGAACAAACTCAAGAAAAATTGACATAAAAGTCTATTGATAAAAATATTTGCTTTGATATATCGGGAATCAAAATAAGTGCTTCACATAATGTGCGATAACATCATAAGGAAGTGGAATAGAGAGAGGTGTTATGGTCAATAATTAAAGTAGACAGACAAATAGTGTTCGATAAGAGATATAGTTCAGCTAGAAATACAGTCAAAGTCACTTTCGTCGAGTAAAAAAGGGGTTACACTACTTTCGTAAAAAAACAGTAGGAAGCGCTAGCATGATCGTAACTGGCTTCTACTCTGAGCTATGTTTGATAACATTATAAGCCACTAAGTTCTGTGATTTCTTGGATCATCCAACAAGGAATCCGTAATGGAAGACAGAATCTAGTTCTGTATGGCTTTTTTGATATCATCATAAGCTAACCACCTCTCTACTCCTAGCATAAGCAAATAACGCAGTATGGAGGCCTGAGGGATAACATTATTAAGGTATCCCCAGGCCAATGACACCTATGTTTCAAAATTATAGCACCAATTGAGTTTCCACAACTGTCCCTAAATATACTTTGCGGACACTAATATTATGTACACTGTTGCTGTCAGATATCGGCAGTCTTTTGAAGACAATTATGATCAGGATAGTGACCGCTGAACATCCTCAACCAGGAGGGGACAGGTCTCACAATCAAACAACAGAACTGTATACATTTACACACTGTATACCCGGTTTTACAGTGAGATGGAAATTATGATAGCTCTCTAGTGAAATGTTGACCTGACTCCAATTCGAAAAGAACTAATATTCAATGAATACAAATTTTCCATTTTAACCCCGTATATTACACCTAGGCTAACACCGTTTAGGCGACGATGGTAATAAGAAGCCAAGCATGGGTTGAGTTGGAAGAATTTATTTTAAACACTCGTTTATTCAGACAGACATTAAGATAAAGAGAAGCAGGTAACCGAAGCAAAGCGGAGCAAGCAAGCTTGACAACTCCATTTGATGAAGCGTGACTCAATATTTATGGTTAGATAAAAATAAAGACGCGTGACAAATAAGGCAAGCTATATACTTAAATACGCACAGAAGAAAACATTAAGGTTAATAAGCAAATAATTGTCAAGATCAAAATGTGACACAAGAAGAATAGCATATTAGTCTGTCCGAAAGCTGAAATGACCCATGTGTACTTGACATAGTATTAGACACTAAAGTCCCATAGAAACGTCATTAATTCCCACAATGTACGACCAAAAATTATAAATACTGGACTCGTTTAATGAATACCTTAAAATCAACACATATTGAAAAGGGATATTTTAGTCAGCTTATATCTAACTCAGAAACTAGTAATCCCATAAATCTCCATGTGATTTATAGAGTAATTCTAATACGTTCAGTAAGCAATCAATTTATCCAGTGCCCTTTCCTTGGTTTATCCCAATTTTTTTGTCGCAAAAATGAAGCAAGGTGGTGGTTTCGGCAATCTGAATATGAAGCTGTTGTATCCACCAAACAGCCTGGTATTTTCAGTCTACTTTGTAACTGAGATCAGTATGCATCCAACCTTTACTTACTCAAAAACAGCTGAAGCCTGTAAATGTTGACAACCGGGCTGCCAAAATCCATATTTAAAGGAATGCTTATAATTGTTGCAAATAATATCATTCTGATCCCCAATTAAAACAAATTTTGCTAACCACCACTGTATTATTAGTGAGTCGCACGGTGTATTCATTTTTACCACAGAATTATCAAAAAGTTATTATTTCCTAAATTATAGTCAGCAGAGATACTGAGTTATGACGTAATCAGAGTAAATAGTTGAAGACTCAGTGTGAGAAGATTAAAGCTCAACAACAGTTTTAATCATTGTACTGTTGAGTGTAGTGACTATTGTATCAAACATTACTATAACAGCATCAGATTCTATGCACTTCCATTCGAAATTGTTACAGATTGAAAAGCTTATTGACAAATCTCAAGCTACGATGTTAAGTAGCCCACGTTGCAGATATGCCTCGTAATTAAGTAGTAAGAGATCTGAAACATATATTCTCAAATTATAGTAGACTGCTTCAGTCTAAATGACTAGTTATTCTTTGTTTCTCCGAAGCACAACGATATATTCATATAAAAAGCTTTTCACTTATTCACTCATCAGGGTGGATTTACCACAAAATTCTGTTGTTCCCCCCTTTATCTTCCTGCTTTTTACATATAATTCGCCATTTTCCACTAAATATACTTATTGAACAGTTACTGCACGCAACTCAATTACCTCCAGTTCAGGATATATGGATTCCTAATTAGAGTTGAGTATCGAAATCTATTGGATTCAATCGCACTAAATGTTAATATTTCAACTTTAACCTTAGACATGGAAAGGAAGTGAGAAATTCAGTATGTAGTGTGATATTAAATAATAATTACAAAAACAATATCAAGTGTTATTTATATTTTTGTTAGTCTTTCTGCTGATTGCTTATGGTCTTCGTATATTGGGAAAGATTTTCCAGCCAACTCATAAAGTAGACTTTGGATAATCATTTTATTATATTTAGTACTAACATTCAATTAATTTTACAAAATTTTAACTCACCAAAACTACATTAATTCAGATTTTGATTCATTACAATATCAGTCTCACACAATGTGGTGGGAACATATATATTAATATGACTTTTTAATTACATATTCATGTTAAATAACCATAAAATAGTTCAATCCAATTCAAATACATACCTAATATTTAAAAAGTAACTGTTTATTGTATTCACACACGCGCAAGCACACAATTCATAACCCTTCTGACCTACCGAATATGTTTTCACTTGCTCAGCTATAGTTTTAAGAGTAATTTCTGTATCCTCATTATTTTGATTAATATTATCCAGAAGATACTCATATTGACTTTCTAAGAATGTAAGATTACGAAACTTTGTTAAGTAAGTAGTATAAAGTGAAGATAACTCCTCTTCTAATTGTTCATACTCTTCCATATATACAGGTCGTACAGATTGCAACGTAGATAAACGTTTACGATTACGTTCTAATTCACTGCGTTTCTTTTCAATTTTCATATCTAAATTGGTTTCATCAGCGGTGATATTGACAAGTGATGATTGAATTTTTTCAATCTGACCATTGATAGCACTTTTGGCGGTTTTTATAGATTCCTCAACATACTCTCGATCTATCTGACGTCTTAAAGAAGTTTCACGTAATTCTTTAATATCTACTTCTTTATTCAATAGTGAATTTAAAGAAGCTCCAGATGATGCAAGTTGACTACATAAATTTCTAGCCTCTTGAAGTTGCTTAACCTGGGTAAGCAAAAAGTAGATTTCAGTTAAATTATGAACATCTCGAACAATAACATTTCCTAATCTTGTGATTAATATAAATTTTTGGATGTGACTTCCGATTTATCATAGCTATAATATGACTGAATGATTTCTAGTCGACTCTTCATAAAAACTATTACTGTTAGTCATTGTTATATTTTTGCTTGTTGGGTTTTTTGTATCATTTCGACTTTGGTAACACGTTTCTGCCAATAAAGGTATTTGTTGTTACAAAATGCTAAAAAATTATTTATATTAATGTTATATTGTTTCATGCGTTTCTATCTAGATTTGACCAATGATGTTTTCTTTAAAATAGCTTGACTGTTTAGCCATGAAAAACTTTGAAATTTTAATAGCTAGTAGTAAGTTACATTAAAATTCAAACAAAGGTACTATAGAACAATATTTTCTTTTGGAACTGTAAAGGAAAACGTTTTTGACAAACTGATATTCATATTAACTTGAGTTTGTTTTACATGCAAATATTTTTAAATGTTCTAGACAAAAACTAAATGTCTGTTTAGCATGAGTAACTAAAAGATATATAATGAAGCGGAAAAAGTGAAACGAAAAACACTGGGTACTAAAACCATGTGCTTTATTGAGAGTCTTAAATAGTCAGTATAATTCTATGTTCTTGTTTGAGATGTTAATTCTCCTAATACAACGCATATCTATTTAAAGTAACTTTCTCCCACTTAACTTTTAATAGATTTTTGTTGTACTGAATAATCCAATATGATTCTACACTCAGTAACAATTCCTCAGTAAATAATAATCACTAATGATTAATATACAATTTGAATAAATTCTATCGGGAAGGCTTTTATACAAAATCGGACCTTTTATACTAGTTAGGCAGTAGCGAAAAAGAAAATAGAAGCAGTCTTGTTCATTATATTAAAATCGAAGTTGGGAACAATTAGCTTAGTGTACGAATGTAACAGTTATTATCAAACCCTCTCACTTTTTAATGATTCAATCGTCAATTGAATACTTTTCTATTTACGTTTTAGGTCATTTATGTCAAATAAAAATAGAATCAAATTTGTTGCTACGACCTAAATCCTACTTCTTACATATGTGTCAGCTTATAGCCTAAAATCATTTGAGAATGTATTTTGTATAAGAAACTTTCGTAAAGAGCAGCAGTTAAACAAACGAAACTCATGTGGTAGATTATGTTAAATGTGTATGGGCTAGGGAGAATAACAGGTAGAGTAAACCTTGACGACTTCGAACTTCCGATGTAACGATGAATGTGTCTTAATCATTGAACCATGGTTAAGAAAAATATGTGTTTAACTTGCGATTAAATAATTTACAAGTAGAATGACATCTTACAAAATTTGCGGGAAATTTTGAGTAGATGTATACTCTTGAGATAAAAATGGACAAATTTAAAAAGAACAGAAACAACAAAGCGTACAGAATAAAACAAATTCATTCCATTCCACTCCTTATTAGCTGCATACAGCCTAAAATTACAATCAATAATAAACTTATAAACAAATTTTTAGAATAGTTTTTGAAGTTTAAATAAACGTTCAAAATGTAACCAAAATCACAAGAAAAAGTGGTCACAAAATAAATGAACAAACAGTTAAAATCGATATGCATTTATATCCTGAGGAGTAGTAATGAAAATTATAATGGGTAATATAGTCACTATTATTTATAATCAAGATAAGAGAGGTTATTTGAGGGTAATGAAACTGTCAATTTATTAAGTAATCACTAGACATGATTAGAAACAAAACCAAGTAAATTTGTGAACACCAATTATATTATGTAAGAGATGAGCAGAAATGGGTAAAAAGATTATTAAAGGTTATTTGACGAATACCCAGTCACCATACCAGAAAGGGAACAACCACAATTCTATCTGTATGCATAGGTTAGGTGAGAAACGTTTAATAACAATTGTCTTTAAAAAACTAATTAAAATTGGTGCTGTTTGTCTGTTAGTGAATTTAAATCTACTCAAACAGTCAGTGGGCTACAATGTAGAACCAGGCACATGTATGCATCTGTTCAAGTTGTCATACCTCATGAGCACGACAAAATGAATACCGAATTCATAGAAACAGATACTTCAGTGGTAGTAGAACAAGGATTTCATGTAAGAATATGATACACAGAGAAAGAACTAGTTCGTAGGAAAAGTGGTACAAAGTGATTTTAATCTCATAGTTTAAGGGAAGACAAAAAGTGTATACACCTACGCCATTGTGATCGATTCTGATCTATGTCACCCAGAGTCTCCACCCATTGGTTATGATAATCGGCCAACCGTTACTACCACCTTGATGTGATGGTCGGGCTTGCCTATCTCGATGAATCAGTCGGGCTATATTGGCTGAAACAATCGTTCCTCAAGGTCCTACCATGCCAGACAGGCCGGTTGAAGTGAATTGAAACTAAAAGCAGCAAACCCAAGGTTCGATGATGAAGTCGTACTGCTGACTGTACAGAGACAGCAGTAAGATGTTTCCTTCAGGCAACCAGCATAACAGCAGTGCTGCCTTCCCACAAAGGGATTGTGGGGTTAAAAAGGGTTCACTTTGAAAATGCACACCTCGCCTTATCCCACGGATATCCGTCTCCGGTGGTAAGGTCTCAAAAAGTACGGAGCTAACACGAAGTTACCTACGAAAACGTCGTGTGTGACCGGCCTCTAGCAGTTGTCCCTTTGGTACTGTGGTCATGTTCTCAGGTCACTGAGATTAACTCTAACCCAATTTATTTTCCAGGTACCCCCAGAACAACCCTACTATGGTGCAGGAAACCAGGAAGTGATAATTGCTCTCATATTTTTAACAGTATTCAAGACCACTATATTCGTAACAAATTCCCCTCTAATTTAAATCCGTCGCTAACATTTGCTATATGTTCGCTATAAAAAAGATGCATGGGGATTGCACTTATGAAAACTGTGCTCCTTTTTAGGCGTACGTTTGTAGGACTCTGTTCAAGAAACCTAGTAGAAACTCTTTTCTTTCTTCTCCTTATATACTTGCAACCGTAGATACACGTTGACTCGGAGGTGGCTTTGGTAGCATATTGATCTATCTTTGATTAGTATAACAAACACGTGGTGTCATATAGTAAAACATGTTTCTTCTGGCCTATTTCTGTTTTGTTTTAGTGCACGAGCTGGTAAACCAATGCGATTCCTCTCATTCTCTCACCAGTGTCACTAATCTTGAGTTTCTGAGTGCTTTATGCGACTGTATGCGAATGGAGTCACAAGTCATCATCACCTTTGTGTGCGGATGAGAAAGAGGTAACATTACGTATTAAGTCAGCCACGCGATATACACAAAAGTAAACTAGCTGAGCAGTAACATCACCAAACCTACATTTTTGTTAAAACGCTAGTGGTAAAAGTTAAAGGACAAATCATTTTACTTAGGAAGTATCACGTTTAATAGAAATCTGAAGACAAGAGGGTAGCCTTACACAATAATGCTAACCAAATCCAAGTGCTAAACTTTAGAATCTACATGCGAGGCAACTGATTGATTACACAAAAGATCTACTGCAAAAGTCTCATAAACAAACACAGATGCATTTACCTTAAACCTGATCACTTCTAGTGCTGTTAATTTGTTTATGTAACTGAGGAGCCTAGAGAAAACGTATTGGAAAAAATACTACTTCTTCATACACCTTGTGATGTTTTAGAGACTAAAATCTAAAAGTGAAAGGCAAATTCTTTAAACAACCTCAAATAAATCCATATTGTATTAGTTGTTTGAATCGTCCTAAATAGGACGAGATGTGCTTCCTGTATCTCACTGCCGGCCACCACTCATCTATTCAAATGAATTTTGAATGAAGCTACAAAATGCATAACGTTAGGTATTTGTAATGATAAAGAGTACATGGTTGCATCGCCCAGTTAATATAACCACAACAAAAAATGATAAGCCTCATTCAGTTTTTGTGGTGGGATATATATTACAAGATGAAACATAGTAACTTGAGCAACGTAAGGCTAGTCAGTGTACTAAGCATGATGGCAAGAAGAAAAAAATATGCACTCAGGGAAGTGGTCCGTAAAAGTTAATAGAAGTATACACACCAATACCCAGTGTTAGTAAAGAAAGTACTCATGCCTCACAGTTGGTTACTTTATTTAGAAGGTGTTGTCATCAAAGTCCACGTCACAACGGCTAGGCATCTATTGCCTTCTGATAGTTGAAACTGTTTCTAAAAACTAAGATACTCAATTTATGATATTTAAATGGTCTCGTGTAAACTATGTAGACTATAACTTATGCAACTGAATATTTAGTTTTTGAGATCCAATTTGAAATGCGGTCACTTCCAAATAAAAATCTGTCACAAACATGAGAGCACATTTCAAACACTTCAATGGCTTGTTGGTGAATAAATCAACATTTATACCCTTGCTTTCATAACTAAAATCCCCTGTACGTTGTTACTGAGCTGATATGTACACATATAAATATGTATCAACGGATCAAAACTACTCACCTTATCAAAATCAAAGATTTCTGTTACATTAAAGCAATTTTGTTCATCTCTGAACTCGGAATTTCTATTTTGCATTGCTTCATATAAGATCCGAGTTATTTTTATAAGTTCCCTTACAGCATATCCATCTGCCTGGTAGAGTCTTTTGCCGTTCAATTTTACACATGCTTTAGTGAAAATCAAGCGCGTCACTGATTTAATAAACAAAACGCGATCCTGTTCCGAGTCAAGGCGTGATGGTAAGTCAGCATAAGAGTCATACCGACAAACCAACCATCTTAAGATTTCCGCAACTAGAGGGAAATTCGGAGTTCGAAAATTTTCCAAAGATATGACGCGTGGATATCCCAAAGAACGCATCATCTCAGTAAATAACCTCATTTCGCGGAAAGACATCTTAACTTGGCCGTTACTACGATACGAAAAAGTACCGTATATTCACTGAACTAAGTAAAACAAAATGCATTCATAAATATCTATAAACTTTAGAGGGTAGAGGGTATATATTGGTTAATTCAGGAAATTTTAATCCCAATAGAATTTATTAAATCAAGGTGAGTTTTTGGTGTTGTTGATCAGATAAAGATTTTTGATCATGCCCAATGAGCATAAAATCCCTACATAGCTTTAGTAGTCCAAGTGATTCTAAACAGGTTTATGGTGGTAAATAAATCCTCAAAGTAAATACTTTGGTAGGTTTTTGAAGTTGATGCTGACCTCATTTGTTTTACTGAACAACTAGCTGAGGGTCCTCGGTCACGGATCCGCAACAGATCACAATCGGTTACGTCATGCTACTCAACTAGACAGCTTAGATCAAACTTTAGGTAATATATATATCTTTCTTGGTGGTAATAGAATGTATGTAGGATGTCATCAGAAGTCTTGTATTTTTGACACGGCAAAAATAAATAAATAATATGATTATTAAGTCATGCCACGTAGATTTTCTATCCATTTACGTTGGTCGTCTACCACCCTGATGGAGTTTTATTAGCTAACAAAAGATCAGTGGTCTGTTCTCTAAGGTACGGATGCGTCCAGTTTAGTGGGAAATCTGAATAGGCATCATCGATAATTCAACGACACTACAACGGTTTCATCTAAGTTACAGAGTACTGATATGCGACTGCTCTTACAGCTAAGATGTCACTAGTGAGACAAGCTTGAAGGGCTTAAGAAAAACCTAACGTTTGATGTGTTCCATGCAAATGAAAAAAAGGAACTAAAGGCAAAGTAAGATTACATAAGGCCCTTCTCTGTGGGGAAACGTACTGTAATTTCGAGTAAAAATGAGCCAAAATGACTTTTGTCGCCCGTCTTAACGAAGTTGTAGTGCTTTTTTCCTAAATGTCTTTTTTAAGGATACATGTCTCGAAATTTACACTAACATTTGCAGTAAAAGATTTACTTTTCTTTCAACAAAATAGGGCACTGGCTACTTGTTGACTAGAAACCAACTTTCTTATACAGTTAAAATGAATTAGAATAATTACACGAGTAAAAGCAATTTGTTTACGGCGATTTAACTGAATTTTACAAAGATACTGACATTATTCAACGGTTGAGATTGACGTACACAAACGTTTTTGTGTTTAGGTCTGAAAATCTATCACTCATGCAAACTGCAGGTTCCATTATTGCCACTCTCGAGGGTACAGCCACAAAAAGGGTAAAATATACGGAAATTCGTGATAAATGACAGTTCTTTGTTTAGGAAGCTCATTGAAGTTACAATCTATGGTTTATATTGACGAATGTGTAGGACATAATGTTGAAGACTGCTATTCCTCACTTGGTTGTTTTTACATATCTAATAAGCCAAAGATGACAGAGGTTATATATTTAATTTTAAAGACTAAAAATTATCCAACAAATGACTAAGTTTCTAGACACTACATCCTAGGACAAGAGCTCGGTCAAAAAAGAAGTGCACCAATATCGATCTCAGTTCTAAATCTCACAAATTCAGAGCCATTTCATCGAACCTACAGGTATAATGAAAGTTAGTCACCGGTGGAGTCCAGAGCACTTCTAAAAATAACTCATTTTATCACCAACTTTGGGCCTTTAACGTGATTATGTACTGATTAGATTGTGTAAAAAAAATACTCACACACTTGATCTAGATATGAAATATTCAAGTAAGTTGATAAATCGCTACATACTAGCCTCACCAGCTTCTCTCAACCAAACGAACCAATGAAAGTTTTAAATATGTTCATAGGAAGATAGTGTTTTGTAATAGACAGCCTAGCAAGAAGTGATCTCTATAAGTTCGGAATTAGCAAGTGAACAGGCTCAAACTAAGGCGCTATTTTCCGACTTATCCCGAATGATCAAGAAGTCTACTAGTTCGGCGGGATCAGGATGCAGGAGGGCCAGACTGTACCACGACTTTGTTTTTCCCCTTTGTTCTCATATGGATACAACTTTGCCTTACATGACTTTTATTCATGTCTGTCTAACACAGATACTATTGCTAACCATGAAAATTTGAACGCACTCAATCTTTTGTAACAGCTTGGGTCGATTGGTCAGGAGTTGACCTCAAGCAACTAAGCATATGTCAAAACAGCATAGTTCAAATATCCATTCACTTCTTTATTTTGTATAGGCATTATATTTCTAATTATCTTATATGGAATGTTGAGAGGTTCTGTTTGTCTAATCAAGGAATCCCATGTTCCACTGTGACTGCGCTAAGATCAAAATAAAAACCTATTCCCTACTAGTGTGGTTTCTTCTATTAATAACATGAGGGTTACCAAGAGGCACGAAACCCTCTCCCTGGGTAGACATAATTTTCTGGTGGTTTATTGTGACACATTAAGGAGTAACAAAACAATCTCGCGCGAATGGCTATCATAATACCATTTAGTCAATATCTAGAATCCAAAACACAATATTGTGCACTTACAGCAACCAGACTGACAACATATGAAATTTTCAAATTAAGTAGTTAAGTTAATCACCAAAACCGCACGGCTGGTTGGACTATCTGCTTTTAGCTTAGACCCCAAGATTGTCTTGCTCAGAGGATTATGTTATTGATGGTCGTTGTCGACTATAGATGCATTGTGTGAGCTTGCTAGGTCATCGACGCATATTCCTTTATTTCCTCTCTTACTCGCTCCTCTTCACTGACGATATTCTGCATGCCCTTCTAGTACACAAAACACCTTTTAGATAGACGCTAAAACAACAAATCTAAAGAAAAAACTCGAAACACTATATATGAAAATAGCAGCGGCAAAATACGTTTCATGTACCCGCAGTCTTTCACATCATCCACTGAAAGGCCGCAGCCGATATCCCCTGACTTACATATAGTTACATTAGCGACATGTACATCACTAACGTAGATGGTCTATGTAGAATGATTGAGGACCTACTCGAGCTAGACGGGAATGGTGTGATCAACCAGCTAACGTTGAACTCACACTTCGAGATTAGTATCTAACGTGGATTACCAATTTGCCCAAATTGTTTACTTTTCACCTAAATACTCGCCTACTTTTCTAATACCGCTTGATTTCACGCTTTGTTATTCACATTTTAACTTATTCCAAACGTCCCCTTTGTTCGCCTTTACTTTCATAACAAACCACATGACGAATACAATCGACTACGTTGAAAATTGTACATGTTTAAGGACATTTGTTGACGGCAAGAGACACCATACTGTGCACGAATATTGTCAGCAGACAGGTGCTCGACGAAAGATCGTTTTCATTGTAAGTGCCGAGCCTTAATGTCATTTAGGGAGAACTGTAAGTGGAATTGCAGGTAATGAGTTGTTAATAAGGAATATGTTGTTATTGATACATACATATAAAATCAAACGGATTAACGCAACATATACTGCACTAGTTCAGGAGTTTTAAATACAAGTCGTTAATTCAGCACGTGGTAAGCAAAAGCTTTATTAATAGTTAAGCTTAAGAAAAACATCAAAAACTGCGTCTTCCTTAAATTGCGGTGTTACTATTCCGAACAAAAATAATCTTTCTGTGAATTCTGGAAGTTAATGAACACGAAAATGTTACAATGATGTCAAACTGTCGTACATTGTTAAATAATTGTCAACCTGAAGTGGGATTTGAAGTTATGCTTGCTAATACTGAACACTACACCTATAGAACGGAAGTGAAAGGTTACCAATTAGTTCATACATGTTCTTGTTTTCGTTGGATTACTTTGTCAACATTTTTAAAGAAAGTTTGAATCATGTTAATGGTAAGTGCTTCGAAATCGGAATGGCTTTGATGACGAATTGATTGGATCTGCCGACGAAAACTATCATCGGTTTGCGATTTATATTTGTAGTTGTATTGGTTAGTCATTGTAAAATCTAATAATGATGACTAGGAGCTTTCATGTTTTTCTAAGGCACATGTAATAACTGTAGTGACTTGTGTTCGCATGCAAAAAATGTTTCGGTAATTCTATCATTAGGTTTTTACAGTGTACAGTAATTGCATTAAAACCTTCAAAGGTTAAACCCCAGTGCTTAGAAGACCAAGCGTTGAGTTTATTGAACAAGACCTCATTTACCTGGCAACATGGACTGTAATAAATCCAAACGATCTGCAGCTCCTTCCGTTTGAATTTCAGGCTTATTTGCTTATGCACACTTATCACTTTTTTGTAAAACATTATCCCCCCGCCTGCACTTTATATAATTAATTTCTCGTTATATTTTATCGATAACACCAAAGGAGATCTAGTATTAAATGGATAGGGCTCCCCTTCCTCATCAATGCCTCTGGATGTTATCGGTGCTTACCAGTGAAAAGTTTTCAGAATCAATCATTTTTATGCTTCATTATGGGAAGGCAGATTTTTATTAATCCTCATATTCGTCTTTAACTTTGTCGAATGTTCTTTACTCATTTTAACCTAATATTTTATTAGCTCTTTGATTGATTGTTACGTGTGTTGTCGTAATGTATTACTGATTAAATGGTCATCTATATTTATTGTTAGTTGTGATGGTTCATTAATAAGCTTTAGTAGCATTTACATGCTTCAGTAAGTTACACTTGTTAAGACATCAATCACTAGCTAATATGGTTTCTAATTGACGTAAATACATATTAGCTGGAAACTTAAGCAAAGACTAAGTAGTTATCCACATCTAATACTTCGTCTACTCTCTCCACTTAACATATTACTCTATTTTAAACGTGAACTACCCCCAAATGTCATTTTTTCGACCACTGCCTACTTAATTTCTAATTTCTGGGTTCCATCGCCAAACATCAAGGACAATATTTCGGGAACCCACAGTGAGTTCAAACTACAGCATTTCTACAGCCTTGAGATCATTTCAGATTTTTTATACGTTGAAAGCCAAGTGTTTATCTAGACTCTTGGATTATTACTAAATCAACCAAGTGACAAAGTTAATAGCATCACGCACACCCAGGGACC